TAAGTGTATGTGTGTGTGAGTATGTGTATATGCATATATGTATGAGTGTATGTATGATCATGTGTGTGCACAAATAAGTGTGTATGTGTGTTTGTGCTTGTGTTTGTGTAACTCTGTGTGTGTCTGTATAAATAGAGCAGTGGTTTCAATTTGAAAAACAAGAGTTTACTACATAAGAAATGACAAAGAGCTTTTCAGCTATTGGGAGAGCATGCTGAGTGAGTTAAAGCCAAGAAGGGATGTTTAGGCAATGGCGAATGAGCCTATAAAGACCATGGCAAATGCTACTTGATTTAACCAAAAAACAAGTTGTATATGGTTAGATTGTTTGTGCTGTCTAGAGGTCAAGAAACATAGAACTATGAGGAAATAACTGGATTTGGCTAGATTCATTCCACACACACACATGCACCCCCACTCTTCACATACAACCCCCCCACACACATATGCACACATACCCTCACACATACACCACACACATGCACACACACACACACACACACACGCGCGCGCACACACACACTTTAGCCAAATACTTTTCTTCTGTATTACTGAAAATACTTTTATATTTGTTTTCATAGTATTTATTAAATTTTAGAACATGAAAGTTATAGAATATAAAATGCATATTAGCAAAATTAAATATAAAGATTAAAGTCATCTACCATTCAGTGATAATCATTATTGACGTTTGAGAGGATAGCCTACCAGAATTTGTCTCCACTAAGTAAATATGTAGAAGAGCACATGTGTTTGTACATAAAAATATTAAAGTATATAAAGTATATTCTCCCTCCTAAATTCTTTTTTTTTTTTTTTTTTTTTTTTTTTGTCTTTCAAGACAGGGTTTCTCTGTATTGCTTTTTGCTTTGGAGCCTATCCTGGAACTTGTTCTGTACACCAGGCTGACCTCAAAATCACAGAGATCAGCCTGCCTCTGCCTTCTGAGTGCTGGGATTAAAGGCATGTGCCACCAACACCCAGCTCTAAAGTCTTTTTTAGTACCACACATACACACACTGAATATATAACCAATAATATATAATTGTCCCCTGTACTTACCATTTCAAATTCCTCTTTACTCCATACATAGATATCTTCCTTTCTTTTTATGTAACATTTTGTATCTAAAACATTGGTACCACTACTGTACCTTCTCCTTTATGGCAAACATTCTAGATAGGTATTGTTATTATGTTGTAGAATTTTTTTTTAAATTGTCTCAATTTCCTGTTCATTATGCCATTTCCTTATCAACCATACTATGTATTGCTAAAACAACAAAACACTTCCTGTACTTTCAGTGTAATCCCCTTGTATATATTTTGGGTTTTCAAGATTTTATTTGTAAGTGTGTGTGTGTGTGTATGTGTGTGTGTGTGTGTGTGTGTGTGCATGAGTGTGGGGCCTGTAGAGGCCCCTTTGGAGCTGGAGTTACAGGTATTGCTGAGCTGAGGGTGCTGGAAACCTAGCTCAGGTCATCTGCAAGAGTGCTACAGACTCTTGACTGCTGAGCCATCTCTGCAGGCCCCATGCTTCAATTTTTAACCCCTCATTTATGTGGCTTGGAAGAGCTATCCAGGTAACATGTTTTCTAGGAGAAAAATGAAAAGTAGATTCTTTACTTCCTGTGTGATTCAATCTTTCTTTGCATGCAGCAGTTCAGGTGTGCCAATCTTGTATATGTCTAGAGAAGATCTAGAATACAAAACCTGGGGTTCCCTTTTTTAACAGAAATGCAATTCATGACCTATCTTTTCATTTCTTAAGGGTGATTTTATAAGCACAACTTTAGAACTTTACATCTATAAATGTCCCTTTCTCTCACTTTAACAAACATTCCTGATTTTATCAGTCAATATATTGATTTCCTTCCTGCTTTCTGCCATCTAAAAATCTCTCAAAGTGATTTAAAAACTAGAACAGATAGAGCCCTGTTTAATGTCTTCTTGGAGAGAACTTCTTTGATGTGGGATGCTCTCAGACATTTTGAACACAAGCACTCCTCTGTTTGTGAACACCTATGCCAACACCTCACATAGCTAAAGCCACTGGCACTTCCCATATTTTGCAGAAAAAATAGCTGCTCATGTGGCCACCAGCTCTCTTGTTTATACTCAAAGGTGATCAAGATGAAACTGGCCTGGAAACTTTTTTATTGCTTATACACCTTATCAGATAGATTTATAATAAGACCTCATCCAAAGAATGAAGAGAACAATACAATTCTTATGCATTTCTGCCAGAGGTAAAAATGGAACAAATTCTTTACCACACTGTTTCATATCATCTAGTAAACTTCCCAGTTGCTTAGCAATTTCACTTCTGGGTGACGGTCAAATGACATGAATAATTTTTCCACAAAGGAACACACTAAAATGTTTTGATAGTCTTATTTAGAATAGTCCCCAAATGGAAATTACTTAATTTCATATGGTGTCATGTCTTCAGACTGCAGACTAATAGATATCAAACACGAATGGTCAATTGATGCGTTCAACAAGTGGGACTAACTTCACACACAAATACTTGAAAAATAAGATTTTTATAAAAGAGTATGTATTTTTGCTTATGTCAATTCTAGTATCAAATAAAACTGTTACCTGCTGAAGAAGAACCTTCTGGAAAAAAACACTGCTGCAAGAGGTATTCTTGACCCCAGTGAGATTAGATATAGAGAGTTATGTGAATTATATGAAGAGTCATCAACTATACAATTATGACTTGTGTGCTTTATTCTATGCACGTACATTTGAAAATGCAAAACAAATGTTTGTTTAAAAAAAAAAAGAGAAATGGCACTGTCAGCACTCAAAGCTAGAAATGTATGTAGGAGGCAGAATGACTTTTCTCAGAAGCCGGCTCAATGAGTAGAGATAACAGATGCGAATGGCCTCAGCAAACTCTGAGTCAGTAACTTACTACAGAACACAAGTTCTGTAGGCTGGTGCTCCATAAGCATTAGCATATATGTGTTATAATGGAGATCTTGAACAAAAATTATGTAAGTTGGAATTCTGTATGAGTAGAGTGCCACCTGAAAGCTTTTAAAAGCTTCTAGATAATTCCATTGTTGATTGTCAATGAACCATAATTTGGGGATGAATGAGGAAGTATGAGAGAGGAGTTTATCCCAGGGAAAAGGTTTTGATCAAATCCACATTTTAAAGGTCCTCTTTTCCAGCAATTTAAAACTTAGCACAAAAGAGGGTGGGGAATGAAAGTTCTAACCTTACATACCTGATCCAGAAAAGGGGGAAGGGGAATGGAAAAGTGAGGAAAGGAAATCATTTTACAGAGCCATCAATACTCAGGGAGGGCATCACTGAACTTTGGGAATGATGGAAAAAAGTTATCCAAGACAGCTTGTGGATTCTAACTTCAGCCAACACATAGGTAAATAAATGTTAATGTTCATTATTTTATCAGATCTTTTAATCAAAAATGAGCTTAAGAGGAGTGGATGTCATTAAAACAAAACTTTTTTATTTATTTATTTTGTTTCTAATTTGTTTTTTGCTTTGGGGTTATACTGGCGGAGAAGGAACTTAGGGGAAGAAGTATGGTAGATGGTCTTATTATAAACACATCAAAGCAGAAGATGTAGGATGAAGGGTAATCTAAGTCAGCATTGCCACAGTAACAACTAAGCCCCTAATCCTCAGTGGCTCTCCATAAGATTTGTGTTCAGGCCTGCCTCTGCTTGGCTCTGCTCACGATCAAGAGTGCATTCTGCTCCGTGAAGGGAGCTTGAAGAACTTGCAATGGATCTTAAGCTTTTGCAAAGTTTCCTACTATGTCTGTCCTCTGGCATGTCTAAACCAAGAGGCATAAAAATGGTCTGATATGAATGGGATGCCCCGCTATAAGTCATATTGTCATGGACAGAAGAATGCAATCCTTTTACAAGGAGAAGTAGGGACAAGGTGAAAGAATAATGTCATGCCTTCCCTGCCCAGGGATGTACCAAAGAAAACATTTCTAGCTCTCATGTGTCCTTTTTGTGCTTACAAACCAGCCCAAGGTCCAGATTTATTTCTTCTTTTCATATTAATTCAACAGTTAAACAATAGCCTCAGCATAAAATCTTTCATCAGTGTGAAGCAAAAATGGACAGATTTCAATTTCCTGTCTTAGTGAGTATTTAAATGTTCAAAAGCCGCCAGGGGAGAAGTCATGGGATGTGGGAGAAAAAGCCAGCAGCCTTCTTCAAACAATGTCTAAATGGGGTAACTGAGCTGTTATGCTATCTTATTTCGTTATCACCTTGCCCCGAGTTGTTGATAAAGGAATGAAGAACAGGTATGTTTTAATTTGGAGGGGAGTTCCAAAATGTTCAAGATTACTGTATCTTATTTTCTTGATAATATTTTTTTATTTAAATTTGCAGCAAGCTTGTTTTACATGTTAATCCCAGTCCCCTCATCCTCCCCTCCTTCCCTGTCACCCTCCCAATCCCCATCCCATCCCCTTGCTGCTTCTCAGGGAGGGTGAGGCCTTCCATGGGGGATCTTCAAAGTCTGTCATATCATTTGGAGCAGGGCATAGGCCCTCCCCCATTTGTCTAGGCTGAGAGAGTATCCTTCTGTGTGGAATGGGCTCCCAAAGTCTATTTGCATACTAGGGATAAATACTGATCCACTACAAGAGGCCCCATAGATAAATAATGATCCACTACCATATAGTTCAGAAAATGACCTTAAGATTTCAAACTTTCCAGATTGTTATCTGCCAGTGTCCAAAGGCCTGATAAGCTGAATGTTAATTGTGTCAAGAAAAGAATAGGGTTTGTTTGTTTGCCCAAATTATCTGGATATCCCACAAAAAATAATTAACATGATTTATTTGAAAATTGAGATTGGTACTCTCCATTTCCATTTTAAAACACTCTTTGTCTGTGATTAAAGAATAGCCTCTGAAGAATTTGCTTTTCAGACCTGGGATAAAGCTATGGACATGCATATCATATTTCTTTTATTTTTCAATCACCTTTCTTACAGGACGAGAGAATGACTCAACAAAGAGTGAAGTAAAAATTGAGACAGAGTCCCCAAGCTCATCTATGGACACAGAAGGTACTGAAGCCAGAATATATTGATATAGTGTTAGTAGGAATGAGAAGAAATTGTGAACTGTGACAGAGAGAGAGAGAGAGAGAGAGAGAGAGAGAGAGAGAGAGAGAGAGAGAGAATAAATGGATGAGAGTCTGGGAATGTGTGGGAATGTATGTGAGTTTGTGTATGTGTGTGAATACATACATACATGTGAATATGTGTATATGTGAACTTTGTGTGTTGTATGTGTGGACTCTGTGTGTGTGTGTGTGTGTGTGTGTGTGTGTGTGTGTGTGTGTGTGTGGTGTGGTGTGGTGTGGTAGATGGAGAGACAGCATCCAGCTTTGTGTAAGTCTCAAGTCTTGGAAAGTCACAAAAAGAACTTCTGCTTTGTTGCCACGGTGTTTTCTCAATAATTCCGACTTAATCATTTTCGAATCTCCTGTCTCCGTATATTTAGAGCTTCCATCAAACCAAGAAGATGCCACGATTGGGGAACAACCAGAAGTGATGCCCCTGATAGATGACCAAGAAGAGCAGGAAGGTGGAGAAGGTAGGAATCCTCCTAAATTACCCCATCACAAATAGAGTTCTGTGGACACCTGCCTGGAATCCAACTACCAAACCTGTGCTTCATAGCTACAGCCAAAAAAAAAAAGAGAGAAATGAACTTGTCTGTAACCTTGAATCTGTCTTTCAAACTAGAGTAACATCCAGAAGTACCAAAAGGTATCACTGACACTTCTCTCCTTCCAAGTAGAATGAAGATGTATTTGCTATTCATTTAGATTTCACTTAGAGTTTGAAACTCTAGCATTGAGACCATGTGTAAGAAATAAAAATCATGAGATCAAGAAATGAAGTCCTAGAAAAAATGAAAAGAACAAATAGATCAAAATTTTTGCACTGATTTCATCCTGCCTTCCTTTGCATAATGATGATTAATTGAAGAGACACATAAAACTGTTCATCCTCTGACCTGCTACATTGATATAAATAATTTATAAATAATAAAATGTTGGTGGAAATAAGAATGCATTAAAGAAAATATTATAAAAATATCAAGTAATTTAGTATTTACAGAATTGGAAGACTCAAACTCTTAGATATCTTTTTAAAAGGTTCATGAAATAACTTCTTACATCATCTTATAAGTCATAGTGCTCTTAAATAAGTAGGTATTTGCAACAGCAGTCACAGTGTCATCATTTGGTAGACCTTGTTTGTGGAACACCATGATCAATTTTCCTTCAAAATTAAAGTACAGACATGATCTCAATTGTAAAATCAGGTCAAATGCAAGTATAGCTTCCAAGTTATAAACACCTCTTGGCAGGAGCGCTGATGTCATCTAATTGCTGAGCTACAGTGGTGATTTTGACACTTGAAACTCCACTCTATTTATCTCACCTTACTCTTCTTCTGTGTCTTTGCTATGTTCTTCTCAATTTGGCATCAGAGTTCAGTCTCATGACACCATGTTTGTGGCAAGTCAAACGAATGGCATGTCTGGAGTAGTTTATCTGACAGTGATAAGGGAGAATCAATTAGACCTTCACTCAGACACAGATATATAATACGGTAAAAAGTTAGGTATAGGAACTTTCCAAACATTTGGTTCTACCTACAACCAAAAACAAAACAGACACAATGCATGCCCATTTGCTTAATTTTTCTCTTGAGGAAATTATTTGTTTTCATATAGTACCTAAAAATGCAAGTGGATTAAAGATCATCTAAGAACGTATACATTGTCTTCTTTGTAATTTGATTATAGAGGAATCCAACATTCACCACAAAGTCCCCTACTATGAAGTTTTTTTTGTAATGATCAAAAAGTTAGGGGTTCACTTTCCCTGTCTTCTTTGTAAGTAGTCAACCTTCTTCTGTAAATATGTGGGAAGCCAAGGGCAAAATGTGTTCTACCATTGTAGCAACTTCCTTTGAGCATTTACAGTAAAAGAGCAGCACCCATGGGCTTGAATTAACCATCCTTTCTCTTCCTGTCTATCACAGATATTTACATGCCATATCTTGGACATTCTAGAATTTAAATTGAAAATTCTTTGAATGTGTTAGCTCTGTCATCTTATTCTTTGTATCAGCAGAAAAGTGGAAAGCTATTCTGTTACATATAAGACAAGGGCTTCTTCTGTACTTATGTTGCTAATAATAATCAGACTGGGTAACCTTTAAGAGAAAGGCTCATTTGGGATCCCATTTCTGAAGGCATAAGGTAAAGGACCTGCATCTGGCAATGGCCTTCTAGCTAGCAAGGAGACAATACAGGACTAACATGGAAAGAGACAAGGAGTATATTTTCATTTGTGTATGCATGTGTGGGGGGGGTATATATGTGTGGCTATGTGTGTGTGCATGTTCCTATGCTCATACATGTGTGCCTACTCTCTCTCTCTTCTTAGAAAGTCATTAGGTTTCAATTACAGATGATTTAGCCCAATCACCTTGACCTACTTCTAAAATACACAATCAGATTAAATTGCCACCCATTTAATTCCCAAAAATGGGGATTTAATTTCAACATGTGAAGCCTTGGGAGACACCCAAACCTTAGTAGCACCCAAAAGAAAGGAAGACAAAGTAAACTAGTTTCCTAGTAAACTAGTAAACCCTGGAAAGGAACTTCCACAACAATGACACTGGATGACATTGATGAGTTATTTAACTTGCCTACATCAAGGTCCTCATGTTTATGACAGTGATGATCATAATAGCTAACACACCATTTACAGTGAACATTTAACCAATAGAATGTGCAAACAGTTGCAAAAAGACATGGCACATAAAGTATTTAGTGTTTAACCCAATTTGATAAATTGATTTGATAAAGTTAAGAGACTCCACAGGGAAGTTCTCTAAGGCCATCCATTGCATTCCATGGCTATCAAAATCTATAGGAGTTTCAAATATACTGCTACCTTCTCCAACAAATAATCACTCACATTTGATCAACAGAACCATATTATAAAGGTAATAGAGTATGGCAGTAGACTGCTTACCTGATGATTAGCCTATAGAAATTGAACTATTAGTGGATGGTAGGGTACAAGTTTTCTCTTACCTAAAACTATCTTTTCTTTGTTAAGGTCTCAATCTTGTGTTTCAGAAACAATAATAAAACCATGTTCCCTGTCTTTTTAAGCAAAATGCAATTGAACTATTGGTAGTTAGTTACCCAAAAGAGGTCAATGAGTAAATTCAAGGTGCTTACATTTATTTTGCTTTCTTTAAATTCAAATAGCTATTAAAGAGTCTGGTTTGAAAACATTTTAAGACTCTATCTCCAGGTTTTGTGCAAATTCTTGAAGGCATCTCTTAGTGGAAAGATATGCATATTTATTGTTAATTAAAGATGAACAACACAAATTAATACCTTACTCTATTTGTAGAAAAATGTTCTTTGTCATTTAGGAAAAAACTTGTTCTCCTTTAATATGAGAACCTTTCTACCGAGGCAGAGAGTGATTCCTTTAAGAAATACATTTCTACACCAGGAAAAAATGTACAATGTCTTTCATTCACTTTGCAACATTTTATAAGATTAGAAAATGTAGATAATCTTCAGGATACATCTTCTATGGCTCCCAGGTGTATGTGCACAGATGTTGCAACATTAAGTTTTGAAGTTAGCATTACCAAAATATGGATTTTTAAAGGAAGTAAAATATTCAGCAGAAGTTCATGCTGATAAAATTACACAATAGCACAATGGACATCTCCCTGGGAGACCCGAATGACAGAATTTTCAACAGGCAACGAGTGAGGTTTCACATATGGCGTCTCTACTCATACAGCCACATTGCCTCCTCCTAAATGAGGCAGGTTTATGCTTTCCTAGCAGGATCAGCAATGCATTTAAAATTTAGAGAAATGGAATCCTTTAGGTTAATAACTAAATAGGAAATGCTTGCTAAAAAAGGATCTCATGTGTTGTATAAAATTTCATAAGAATCTTTGTCCTCATTTAGAAGTTTTTGTCATAAAATTTAACGATACCAACATTGTGTCATTATTAAAGCCAATATTTTCCATGTGTATTAAGTATACATGTTTACCTTTTTATTCAAGGTTTACTCAGAGTGCAGACATTTGCTCTCAATTATTTTTCTTGTAACAATTAATTAGTGCCATGTGGGACAGCAACATGTTACATGTTTATTAAAGGTTTACCAAAGTTGTTAGGAAACTTTGAGTGAGAACGAATGCCAGTGAAATGCTGTGTGTGAACCAGTGGTGAGCGTGAATTTTTCTGTTAAGGTCACACTTTCCCACTGTTCAGTAAAATCATGAAGCACATACAGGAGCCATGCCATGTATCCTTACTGTATGATTGCTGGCAAATCTTCTAATGTCTAAGCATTGCCATTTTTAAGGTAGTAATCAAAGACATGGGCTCAAACAAAATTGTAAGGTTTCAACTTATTCAGTTTTCAAAGAAGGCCAACTCTGAAGGACATATGGACGTATTCTGGATGGAGAATGTCTTATAACATTGGAAGTGGTCGTCAAGAATACACTCAACACTGAAATAGTAGGATTTTTCTAGTTTTATTTGTTTCATTCTGTTGGTGAAAATGTAAAGGCTCCTAGGCCATTCACCAAAATAGCCAGAACAATCACATTTTATATTAAGACCCATCACAAATTATCCATAAAGATATGTAAGTGAGGAGGTATGCCATTCTGCTTAACTTTGATTTATACCGACTCTGCTCAGATCCACCTTTCATTGTCATATTTTTTTAAACATACATGGGAACATTCTCCCTGGCATTTCCTCTGGCCACTGTTGCATATTTCAGTGACGATATAGTAAGCCAGCCACGTATTCTTCTGCTGCTTACCAGCCTGGCCCATTAGAGGTTTATCTTGTCTGTAGGGCACCAGTTCTCCACTCTTGGTGTTTTCCATTATTGATGGCATCCCCACATGAGTGACCATACTGTTTTGTCTTTCCTTGGAAAGTACTGCCTGGACCAGCAATGAATGAGGCCTCATATCAGATCACTAACACTGGGGCTTCCACAGCCAGCTCTTGCTATGCTAATGATAACCAGGGTGGTCTGGTTTTCTTTTGACTTGTGAAAAACATTACATTAAATTGAATAATAAGTCCTGCTCAGAACTGGCCTAGGTTTCTGTCTCTATGTTGTATCTTGCATCTTGGAACTTCAGAGACCCTGTGTTTCTTCTTTGCAAATGAACTCACCCAAGCAAGGCTGTTTCTGTTCCCTGGGGGCAGTTTCATTCCAGTGACATTCTTCTGTTACTCCATCTCACTCTAACCTCACTTTCCAGCCAGAAATTTTCAACCCAAGTTTGTTTTAAGATCAATTTTAAATGAAAAAGGACTGTTCCCTGTTTAGGCTTTATGTAAATTCTGAAGGGCTTTATGGAATTCATTGTATGTGTTAAATATATTGAATATAAAATTATAACATTTTAACCTAAGATCTAATATTATTTTAAGGTTATTTTTAGAATGTTAAACTATTTTATGTTTCACATTCAAATAAATATGCACAAAATAGG